TCTTTACATTTTACATACTCCACAGTTAACATCAGAGTGGAAAGATTATGTGTATATGTGTGTGTGTATATATATATATTTATAAAAAGACTAAAATTGCTAACTTCCCACTTTTTTCATTCTTTCTGAAATTTCATTTGTTTTCTGAAAAATTTTTAGATTTGTTAGATTCCCTTTTTGGATTTTCATAAAAAATTGTAATTAGGGCCTCCCCAGTGGCGCAGTGGTTGAGCGCTGGGTTGCAAAGCTGCCCGCAGCCTCTGCAGCTCCAGTTTGATCCCTGGCCCTTGCATGAGGGTCCCACATGGCGCCCAGACCTCTCCTCCACCTGCTGCTCCTCTCAGCAGTGTATTTTGTCACTCTGCCTGTTCTGTTCCCCGCTCTGGCTCTGGTGAATTCTCTCACCCTCAGTGCTTGTATAAATAAATAAATCTAAAAAAAAAAAAATTTAATTAGTGGGTCACCCTGGTGTCGCAGGCAGTTGTGCGCAGCGCTGTGAAGCTGTCCGCAGCCTTTGCAGCTCGGGTTCCATCCCCACATGGCATGGCAGACCTCTCCTGTCTGGTCCGCTGCTCCCCTTAGTAATGTATTTCAGTCAGTGTGCCTGTTCTGTTCCAGCTCTGTCTCTGGTGAATCCTCTCACCCTCCCACACATCTGACCTATGTCCTGGTTCTTGTATGCATAAATAAATAAATCTTAAAAAAAAAATTTAGCTTACTAGTATACAAATAAGCCCATAATAAACTCATTGTGTCATTTTACATAACAAATGAAGAATTAGCTAAAAGCTTTGTCTAAATTCTCAATGCAATTTGGAAGTAAATGTGAGTGAAGTTTCTTTAGATTCAACTATTTTTAACATTTTAATTTTTGATTCTGTTGAGTTTGTCCTTTGTTATCAAAGGGCATTGATCATTTTTCTGTACATTGTGTTTGTAAAATATTTTGTACATTGAGTTAATAAAATAGTCATTGAGTTAACAAAAAGTTAACGACTATTTTATTTTTTTTTTTTAAAGATTTATTTATTTATGCATACAAGAACTGGGGTACAGGCCAGAGGTGTGGGGAGGTGAGAAGATTCACCAGAGACAGAGTAGGGAACAGAACAGTCAGACTGACTGAAATACACAGCTGAGGGGAGCAGCGGACGAGTCAGGAGAGGTCTGCTGCGCCATGTGGATAGCTCCCTGGCTGGCTGGGGATTGAACTGGTACTGTAGTGGCTGTGGACAGCTTCATAGGCTGTGTCGTAACCCCTCGCGCCACCAGGGAGGCCCGACAACTATTTTATATCTTAGTTTCTTATAAGTGCTTGGTGTGTAGATGATTTACCTGAATATTGTTTATGTAGAAAGAGTTTATAGCATCTTTTTAAAAGTTAGTAAATATTTATATTTCATTGTCAATGTTGCAGATAAGTTGTTTGAATTTGTTTAAAAATTAAAGGTTAAGAATAACCTCAAAGTGGCTTTCATGCCTCAGTGAGATGAAGTATAGTTTTCCATGTTTCTAAGTTGAAGAAACAAAATCCAGAAATCCAAATAGATTTCTCAATTTACTATTCTGTAAATGAATGTTTTTGCTTTTTGGATTATAAGGCATTAGAATTGGTGAACTTATATTTCAGAGCTTTAAACTTGTGTTTGCTTCTAGAAACATCCCCCTAGGGTATCTTAACAGTGATACTTGAAAGCTAAAAGCTCTTAAATAAGAGTAGAGATTCTTCCATGATGTCACTGGTGTCCGAGAAGTCCTGGAACTGCTTCAGTTAGAACTATTGGTTTATTTATAAGTGTTTGTGCAGTAATGGACATAGAAAAACTAATAATGATATCACTATGTTCCCCAAATTGCCATTTCAAATAAGTTGCCGTTTCTAAAGATGCAATTAGGTAAAACATTAAGATTTTGAAAATGGTACCACTAAAACATTTCTTTCACATAATTATTTTTGTATTTGCTTTACATAAAGCAACCTCTAAAATACAAACAGTGTGCTAAAGGATGTTATTGCTGACTTTTCTTCCCAGGGGCTGCAGTGTTACCTTCAATGAGATCCATTTTTGTTTTGAAAAATGGTTATTTTTAATTATACAGATAATATGCTTTCATGTACTTAACTGTCAACTTCATTGACAGTACTTCATTTCAAGAAATGAAACAGTGAAAAAGTTTATGCCCCTTTTATATCCACCTAGCACTGCATTCCCCTTCCTTTACCCCCCAGATAGACAATCATCACAATCCTAATTCAGTGCTAATGACTGCACATGTCTTTATATCTCCATTTATGTGTGTAGCCACTAAAATAGTTTTTCAGTTTGAAACAAATAAAAACATTCTATATGTCCTGCTACTTTTCTCTATCAGTTTGATGTTTGTGATACATAGTTGTTCAGTCTCCTCTTTTTTTAAGATTTTATTTGTTTATGCATACAAGAACTGGAGTGTAGGTCAGAGGTGCAGGAGGTGAGAGCATTCACCAGAGACAGAGTGAGGAGCAGAACAGGTGGATCTACTGAAATACACTGCTGAGGGGAGCAGTGGGCAAGAGAGGAGAGTTCTGCTGAGTCATATGCTCCCTGGCTGGGGATTGAACTCTTATTGCAGTGGCTGGTGGTAGCTTGATGGCACTAAGCTTTTAACCCCTGTGCTACCCGGGAGGCTCTCAGACTCCTCTTCATAGACATTTAAATTGGTTTTGATTGTTTGCTTTTGACAGCAATGCTGTGTGGACTTTGTATGGACTTCTCTCCATAACCAAAAGTGAAATTGCTGGCTTTAAGTTGTAGACATCTTTAGTTCTCCTAAATGGTTAACAGGTTTTGTCCCCACTGATCATATATGAGTAGGCTCCAGATCCTTGGCAGCTGCTGGTATTGTTGGACTTCTTCTAATTTTTCCAAACTGATAGTTAGGAAATGGTACCTCATTATAGCTTACATCCTTTCTGTTAGTTATATTAAGATAATAATTTGCTCAAAATGAAGCTCTCCATTTTTAAGAACTTGATGATTTTTGGTAAATATGTATCATCATGTAGTCCCCACCACAGTCATGTTGTAGAACATTTGTATCACCCTAATATGTTTCCTCATGTCCCTTTGCAGTCAGTGCCTTCCCTCCTACCTCCTGGCCCTTGATTATCACTGATAACTTTCTGTCATTGTCATTTTGCTGTTTCTAGAAGTTTGTATAATTGGACAGTTGCTTGTAGTCTTTACTTAACATGCCTTTGAGGCTTGTCCGTTTTTTTACTTTCTATTCTCAGGTAGTATTCTATTGTATTTGGTTTGTTTATTCATTCTTCAGTTGATGGACATTGGGTCTTTTCCAGTGTTTGTACTCTAGAAATAAAGCTTCTATGAACATTTGCCTTCAAGTCTTAGTGATGTGTAGATGTGTGGTTTCTTGAGTAAATAATATCTAGGAGTAGAATTGGGTCACAGGGTATGTTTAACCTGATTAGAAACTTCCAAACTCTTTTCCAATTTCCATTTTGGATCCTCACCAGCAATGTAACTGAGTTCCAGTTCCTCACCAACCCTTAATAATGTCAATTGTTCATTTTAGTCATTCAGTTAGCATTATGATTTTAATTTGCATGTTCTTACTTTGTTTATTTACCATGCAAAGAATATATTTTATTTGTTAGGTGTTTGTACAAATATTTTGCAAATATATTTATGGCATCTTTAAAATATTTTTATTTTGTATGATTTACAAGGGTACATATGCAGCAGCACATGTATACAATGTGGTGTTATACGTTTACACATCCATCAGAGTATTCACTCAAAAAATTTTACAAATATGTCTGAAGACCGCAGATTAAAACATGACTTTGGAGACAGGCCTAAGCATGAAGTCCACTTCTGTCATTAACAGGCTGTGGGAGCAATTCTTTAATCTCTTTAAACCTTTATTTTCCGCTTCCTATAATGAGAACAGTGATATTTCTTTTGTGAGATTGTAATAAAACTTGACTGAGTTGTATGTAAAGTGTTCAGCTCTAGGTCCAGACAATCTTAACAGTTCAGCAAATACAGCTGGCTTCGTTTTCTGCCCATTTTTTAATTGAGGTTTTTATCTTTTATCGTGGAATTATAAAAATTCTCTATTTGGATACAAGCCCTTCTTTGAATATATGTTTTGCAAATTCTTTCTCCCAGTTTGTACCTTGTCTTTTTATTTTCTCAACAGGGTCTTTTGAAGAAAACAGGTTTCTAATTTGATATAGTCATACAATTTTTGTATTTCGTATTTGTGTTCAAATAAGGAAAACTTAAGTCTAAGCCAGTCATAAGATTTTCACTTATAATTTCTTATAGAAATATTATTAGTTCCTACATGTAAACCTCTTGTCCATTGCAGGGTAAATTTTGTATACATTGTGAAGTAAGGGTCAATGTCCATTTGTTGGATGTGGATATCCAATTCTTATAGCACCATTTATTGAAAGTATTTATTATGGTTTTACTTTCTGCTTTCTGGAATAATTTTTTCTTTTGTGATTTTTGCTGTTTCTTTCTTATATAAGAAATTCTTCTTTACACCAAGATCATAAAAAATTGCGGAGACCCTTATAACACTGAGTCTCTGGAGTCAGGCTGCCTGTGCTGGAATTCCGGCTTTACCACTGACTCTGTGTGACTTTGGACAAGTTATTTAATCCCTCTGAGTCTCAGTATCCTCTTTTATAAAATGAAACTACTAAGAAGAGTCCCTGCCAGAGAGGGTTATTATAAGAATAAAATGAAATGCAATGTGTTTCAGTTGCCTGGGACAGAAGCTATACATGTGTCATTGTGGTGGTGATGAGCATTATCTCCATTTTGTTTAAAGAAAAAAATTAATTCTCATTCTGATCTATATAATTCTAGGACTCATTCTTGGAAGTTTTGCAATTTGTGTGTTTTTAAGTTCATTTTGTGGCCTGCAGATGATCTGTATTTTTGAAAATTTATCAAATTGTTTAATGTTCCTTTATTTTGCAGCTAGTGGTGGTTGGCAGGAACCTGAAAATCCTCACACACAGAGGGTAAGTAAAGATCTTCAGAGAGAGGATGAAATAATTAAAAATGGAGAAAAGACTGAAGAGCTTCCATTTCATCAATGTGGCCTATGCTTAGAAATCCATGATGTTTCTGTATTTTGGTATCTATTACACATAGAAAGTGCTTCTCACTGTTAGACATTGTCACCATGGCGATTTTTTCCAAGTCTGAGTTAATAGAGAAACCTAGATGTAGTTTTAGCTCCCTACTCAAATTTTAAATTGGCAAAAGAAAAAAATATATTTTTGTTTTTCATAGAAGTACCAACAAAATGAAGGCTCCATTTGTTCACAGATGCTCTTGAAATCACATCAACATGTTGACATCTTAACTCCTGAGAACCCCACTAATTCAGAAGATGCCCTTGGACTCAGTCATGGTAGCTTATAGAATCGTGACTTGAGCACCCTTTAAATAGTTCACAGTGAATAGATCTCTGTAGTATGTAGTAAAGGTGTTGGGTTTTATTGTTTTTTCCCCTGGAAGTAGAATGTAAGAAAGATAATGAAATGCTGTTGAAATGAAGTATTTACAGTCGAACTACAACTTAATAATTTGTAGTTATTCACCTATATCAGCAACAAAATTAGAAATAACCAAACCTATCCGAGGTGATGCTTTAGAAACTTGGACCTTCTGACATTCATTATTGTTATTGTAAACTAGTACAGGTTTCTTGAGTTCTCAGCATTATCTATTTCCTGGGCTCTTATCTACAGAAATATCTGAACTTGTGCACAACGATATTTATTCATTCAACATTTGTTGAGTACTTACTATGTGCCAGGGACTGTGCTGGACAATAGGACACATGGTTCTTACCTTCATAGAGCTTAAGTCTAATGGGAAAACAAAAACCAGTCAAATAGTCCACAGATAAAGGAAAAACTATGCTAACTAAAGTAAAGGAGAGATGTTATGCCATGCTAATATGTAAGGGAGGAATTTCAGCTTGTCAGCTTCATGTCTAAGGATTGCACTAAGATCTGAGAACAACTAACAAAGATAGGAAAGAATTCAAAGCAAAGGAACACTATATGCAAAGAGCTTGTAAATGGAAGAAACAAAGCAAATTGTAGGAAAGAAATGGAATATGACTGTAATGGAGCATAGGATTAAGCAAATGAAGAGTAATATTTGGGATCAGACCATGCAGGACCATGTAGACCAAGTAAAGAAGTTTGCGATACCTTTAAGTAATAACAGGATTAGCTTGGTGTTTCTAAAATGTAACTGCGGCTGACTTAAGAGACCCAAAGTGGGTACCAGAAGACCATTTATCATTTCATAGGAAATGTTTACATTTCTTACAGGACATCTGTACATTCAGTAAGATGCAGCCTTTGGTAAGAATGAGGTAGATCTTTTTGTATTGGATGGAAAGTTCATGATACTTTCAGTGAAAAAGAAAGTTACGATATAGTTTCCTTGCAAAGGAAATACATTTATTAAAAAATAAAAACTTGTATTTGTTTTTAAACTTATCAAAGCTATAGGTCTGCTTATAGATTTTTTTTAAATGTATGCAAAATATAACATCATCAGACCTGTGTCTGTGAGTGTATAAAAAGATCTCTGTTAATAATAGTGGATACCTCTGCTCAGGGGAATGCTGGACGTGGGCCCAAGAGGTTAAAGAGAAGTCTCCCTTTTTGATTCTTTGTGTTTGTTTTCTTGAAAATTTCACAATTAACAATTATTGCTTTTATGATGAAAACATTTTAAAAGTGAAAATGTGTGATGGACTGAGGGATAAAGCAGTGCAAAATGTCATATTCTTAAAAATAGATGATCCTGTGGCCTTGCCAAAAAAAAAAAAAAAAAAAATAGGAGCAGTCTGAGCTGAGGGGAAATAAACAGCGAAGTAAAAACACAATAAAAAGAGCATAAAGTTAGTAAACCTTTCATTGCACATTTCTTGTTAAACTTGATTCATTTCAGTTCTGAAAAGGTTATGTAGTAAAGAGAAGTTGTTTTTGAAGAAAAGGGCAAACTATTTGTCTTCTCTATTCATTTTGTCTCATCAGTGTAGTTGACTAATTTTAATTTTGCATGTTTCCTGTTAACATTTTCATGAAACAAATAACTTTGTCTTTGATTTCTTACAGATGAACAAACTAATTGAGTACTACCAACAGCTTGCCCAAAAAGAGAAGGTTGAACGAGATCGCAAGAAACTGGCGCGGCGTAGAAACTATATGCCGTTGGCTTTTTCGGTGAGAACTTTATCCAAAATGGAGTTTGCAGCTCATTGATCAAGACTGTGTGGCATGAGAGCAGTGACAGTTTCAGGAAGTAGCCAGGGTCCCTGAATTCCTAACTGATGGGTAGCAGGGAAAAGCTCCTCGAATTACAGACCTTTAAGTTCAGCAGTTCAGCTTTTGCCATATCATTAGTTCTGTTTGAGTTTTAAGGTTTTTTTTTTTACTTTTTTTTTTTTTAAAGATTTATTTATTTATACAAGCACTGGGTACAGTCAGAAGCGTGGGAGGGTGAGAGAATTCACCAGAGCCAGAGCAGGGAGCAGAGCAGGCAGAGTGATGAAATACACTGCTGAGGGGAGCAGCGGGCATGGCAGGAGAGTTCTGTTGCGCCATATGGGATCCTCACTGGCGGCCAGGGATCAAACCGGTGCTGCAGAGGCTGTGGGTAGCCCCGCAGCCCAGCGCTCAACCGCTGCGCCACCAGGGGAGGCCTGAGTTTTTTAAGTTTTAAGGACATTTATGTTTCTTTCTCCATCACTCCTCTTTCTTTGTGGATTATTCCCCCAAAATGGTTACTGTTTAGCATTACATTAAGATTTAGAATATTTGTTATTGTCCCCCAGGTTCCGGATGAACAAATTAATTGAGTACTACCAACAGTATGTAGTACTTTGTTGTATTTGCTTGGAGCCAAACAGACCCATAACACTAAAGGGCAATGATTTGTGTCAAACATTGTGCTAAGCACTTTACTCTTACCATTCTGTTTTCATAACCAGTTCTGTGGGGTAGGTGATATATTCCTGTTTTATAATTGAGGAATGAAACCTATAAAGGTTAAATAACTTGCCATCCCACTTCCACTTGAGAGTTAAGCCTTTGAAACCTAAGGATCGATAAAGGACATTTAAAAATACCTAGCTCAGATTAAAACATTAAAACTTGAAAGGATCTACAATTGCCAAAGACCTTAATGAAGTCTTAGTGAACTTTTCTGAGTAGTTCAGTGGCATAATTTGGCGTATGTACAAGTATATTTAGGAGAGAAATTGGAATTAAATGCATTCTTTCAACTTTTCCCTTACAACCTGCCTGCTGTATGAGTTTGCTTCTATCTTATGCTGCATTTTTTTGTCTCTGTTGCAACCTGCTGCTATTTTGGGGCCTACAGCAACACACTATTCATGTAGTGGTAAGTTCTCTTTTATGATTCTTGCCAACGCTGAAGAAGTTAGCAGATGATCACTGGTGTTCCAAGAAGACATATTCATCATGTGTCTTAGATGCTCCACATAGTACTAGTCTTAGCGATAGCTTAGCTCTTTCTATACTCGATAGTAGCGAATTCACATTTGGTTCAGTTTGACAGTATTAATGTAGTTTTAGTCTCCATGTTTGGTACTTTTATTATTACTTTAAGATGATGTGGAACTATACATTAGTCTGTCTAAAAGAATCTTTCAAATTAGCTGGGGTTTTTTTGTTTTTGTTTGTTTTTGCTTATTTCCCTGAGCTTCTCATGCTGCCCCACCCCATATCTTTTCTTTTGGAGCATAGAATGTATAAATATGGAATTTCTAATTAGATGTTCTGAACTTTTCAGGATAAATACGGTCTTGGAACCCGACTTCAGCGACCACGAGCTGGTGCAACAATCAGTACCCTTGCTGGACTTTCGTAAGTTTGTACATTAAATGACTGAGGCGAAAAGGAGGTACCAGGGATATTAAATATAATATAAATTATATTGAAGGAATATAATTTATAAAGCAAAATCATAGCGAATGGGGAAGATTCTCAAACTTAGAAAAGACCTAAACAGAAAGAATATTTTACAGTAGAAGAATGCTTCAATAACTGATGTCATAGACTTTGAAGATTATCAAGTGGATCCTTGAGAAATTTCTACTTTTAATCCTTCAGCCTTAAAGAAGGGGAGGACCAGAAAGAGATAAAAATTGAGCCAGCTCAGGCTGTAGAAGAAGTGGAGCCTCTACCTGAAGACTATTATACAAGACCAGTAAATTTAACAGAGGGTAAGTTTATACACTATTCAACTTTGTCTCTATCTTATATCTGTTTCTGCTTTTGTTACTTATATCTCTTGTGTTTTGGGATTTTGTAATGGTGTTAGTTCATAATAAAATGAATCCTGTAGAACATAAAATAGAAGTGATCATGAAAAACTTTAAAATGTCAAATATCTATTTTACCATTTTTTGAAGAACCTGCTTCATAAAGGCAGTGTTTTCTCATGTAAATACTGCATATAAGTCTGAGTTTGAGCAAGCCACTATAAACTAAGCCTGGTTTCTACCTTCCATGCTAGTGACCACTCTTCAGCAGCGCCTCTTACAGCCTGACTTCCAACCAATTTGTGCTTCACAGCTCTATCCTCGTCACAAACATCTTCTGATTAAACGGTCCCTGCGCTGCCGGGTGAGTGTTCCGTTTTATAGAGTTACATGTTCTCATTTATATAAGAGAACAAAAAAAATAAACGTGATTGGTACCTGGCCAATAGCAGAACACCTGGAATGTAGCAGGTAAATCACTGAAAGGATGCACTTGGCATCCAGACACTATTCTAAATTCTTTCAAGATAAACTTAATCCTCACAGCTCTATGAGGTGTAGGTACTATTGTTATCCCTTGCAGATGTGGAAATGGAGGCATTTGAAGGTAATGTTCATAGTACTCACCCCTAAAAGTGTAGCTTTTTGGCTAGAAGAGAGGGAATAAAAAGGAGTAATAAAAAATAATCAATTTAAAAAGAAAAATCCAGGCTCTGTGAATTTACAGAGCAAACAAGTTTCTTCAATAAATAAATTGTAAAAGAAAATCTTAAAAACAAACCTTTTCAGGGCCTCCCCGGTGGCGCAGAGGGTTGGGCACCGCACTATGAAGCTGTCCGCAGCCTCTGCAGAGCCGGTTCAATTCCCAGCCAGCCAGGGAGATTCCCACATGATGTGGCCTCCCTTGTCTCACATGCTGCTCCCCTCAGCAGTGTATTTTGGTTGTCTGCCTGTTCTGCTCCCCGCTCTGTCTCTGGTGAATCCTCTCACCCTCCCACACCTCTGGCCTGTACCCCAGTTCTTGTATAAGAATAAATAAATCTTAAAAAAAAAAAAAAAAAAACTAAAAATGCTTTTCAGTCAGTGCTATCCAACAGAACTTTCTGTGATGATAGAAATGTTCAGCATCTGCATAGTTCAGTATGGTAGCCACTACTCATTTGTGACTGTTGATCTCGTGAAATGTGATGCTGTAATTGAAATACTGAATCTTTTGTTTTAATTCATTTAAATGACCACATGTGATTACTGGCTATTATTGTCAAATAACACAGCTTTAAATTAGAAGAGACTTAAGAGGCATATCAATCAAGCACAATGCACAGACTTTATTAAATCCTGATTCAAGCAAAACAGAAAAAAAGGAGCCGGGGGAGAGAGAAAAGGGAAATGAAAGGGGAAGAGTGAGGAAGGAAAGAAAAATTTATAAATCCCCTTTTGTGGGGATTGAAGCACTGCCTGGGTTTCTGTTGACTTACTTTTTTTAAAGAGATAACGGTAGTTATTTTTAAAATGTATTTAAGAGATACCAAAATATTTATGAATGAAATGTCATAATAGCTGATACTTGTTTTAAAATAATCAGGCATGGGGAGTGGGTGGAAAGTACAGATGAAAACAAGTTTGATTATTGTTGCTAATAAGTTGCTAATTGTTAAAGCTGGGTGGGTATATAGGGATTTATAATACTGGATAGTTATCAGGGATAAAGAAATATAAAAATAATGACAAAGGTGACATTTTTCAAAAAGGACAGAACAATTCTTAATTCTTATGTGCCTAGCAAAAGAGTGTCAAACTGCATGATGCAAAACATGGTAGGATTAGAAGGAGAAATAAGTGAATGCACCATCACAGTTGGACACTGCAGTACCTTTCAAAAAAATTGGCATTTCAAGCAGGCAGACAATCAGTGAGGACATAGTTGAATTCAACGCCAACATCAGTCACTGGAAATAATTGACGTCTATAGAGTTCTCCTTTTAACAGCAGCAGAATATACATTTTTCTCAAGATCATAGGAAACATTCACCAAGATAGACTATATTCTGGGCAATATAAAACACCTTAAAAATCTGAAAGAATAGAAACCATACAATATCTGCTCTCAGATTCTAATGGATTAAACTAGAAATCATAACATAGTTGGAAGATCACAAAGTATGTAGGGATTAAACAACACACTTTAAATAACACATGGGGCAAAAAATCAATCTCTACAGAGATAGCAAATTTGTGGGGTGCAGCAAAAGTCATGCTTAGAGAAAAATCTATAGCAATAAATGCATATAATAGAAAGCAGAAAGATCTAAAGTCAGTCATCATTAGTTTACACGTTAGGAAACTAGAAAAAGAGTAAATCCAAAGTAAACAGAAGAAAAGAAATTATTTGGAACAGAAATCAATGAAACTGAAATCAGGGCCTTCCCTGGTGGCGCAGGTGGTTGAGCGCTGCGATGTGAAACTGTCCACAGCCTCTGCAGCGTCGGTTCGATCCCGGCCGGCGAGGGTCCCACATGGCATGGCAGACCTCTCCTGTCACACCTGCTGTTCCCCTCAGCAGTGTATTTCATCAGTCTGCCTGTTCTGTTCCCCGCTCTGTCTCTGGTGAATCCTCTCACCCTCCCACGCCTCTGGCCTGTTCCCTGGTTCTTGTATAAATAAATAAATAAATCTTTTAAAAAAAAAAAACTGAAATCAGGAGAACAAGAGAAAATCAGTGAAATCTCAAACTGATTCTTTGAAAATGTCAACAAAATTAATAAGCTTCTAGTCAAAAAATAGAGGACACAAATTACCAATATCAAAAATGAAAAGGGGACATCACATTAAATCCCATGGAATAATGAAGTAAGCCTGTTCCACAAATTTGATAACCTAGATGAAATGGTCCAATTCCTGAAAAGACATTATCTGCCAAGATTGACATAAGAAATGGACAAGTTGAATAGGCCCATATCAAAGAAATTTAATCAGTAATGAATAACCTTTCAAAACAGAAAGCATCAGGCCCAGATGTATTAACTGGAAAAAATGACAATCGGTTTTCAACAAAATTTCAGAAAAAATAGAAGGAAGCAGAGGTAAGAATATTTCTAACTCATTTTACCTTAACAATATCCAGTATTCCCCTAATGACAAAACCAGACAGACATTACAAGAAAACTCATGAACATGGATGCAAAGTCCTCAACAAAATTAGCAAATCAATTCCAGAAAGTGTTAAGTATAGATCATGACCCGGTTGAATTGATTATATGCACTAAGTAACATTTTCAAATAACAATGTAGACTATTTGAACATGACTTAATGGCATGTATAGAACAATACAGATTAGCATACATGACTGAATGGCATGTATAGAAAACTACCCAGTCTGCAAATATATTTTCAAGTACGCACAGAACACTCATAAAAAGTAACTACATGTTGGATCATCTCTTAAAAAGATGAAATTATGGTCTCACTCATAACAGGAATCTAGAAAACTTAAATAAGGGACCAGGAAAAAGAATATAAGAAAGAAAATATCAAAATCAGCAAACAACTATGAACCAGAGACACTTTATGGGGGGGGGGAGGGGAAAGGAGGGGTTGGGGTCAAAATAAGGGGGTTTTAATTGTATGGGGAATATAAAAATTAAATTTAAAAAAAAGATGAAATTATTACAGCATATTATTTGACTATACTACAACTCTAAGTTAGAAATCAGTGATTCCTATACAGGAGAGTTTGTAGGATTCAGCTAAGACTATGCTTAGATATTTAAATATTTGAAAAGAAGTAATGTTAAGAAATCAGTGGTCTCAGTATCCAGTTCAGGAAGTCAGAAGAACAGCAAAGTAAGTCCAAATAAATCAGAAGGAAGAGTAACATTAATGAATGAAGTAACCAATATGAAATACAAAAACTCAACAAAACTAAAAGTTTATTCTTTTTAAAAGGTTAGTGATAGTAAATATTAATATAAAATAAATTAATAAAAGTATATTTAAAATAATGTCAATTATGAGTATACCATTAATATACTAGTGTCTGCCAAAACTAAATAAGCAGTTTTCTATTGACCCATTGACCTCACTTCTAGCACCCTGTCTTCAAGTTGCACTTCCACACATATAAACCAAAACATATAGAGATTGTGGTATATCCACACAATGAGTACTATAAATCTATTAAAAAAAAGAATATGCTAGGATTGGACATTTTTGTGTTACTTATTTTTTTTTTGGCCACGTTTCATTTCATTTATTTATTTTGAAAATACTGCAGTCAGTGATACTCCCCCATAAATTCTTACATATGCATCTCCTAAGAACAGGACATTTTCCCCCATAAATACAATACCATTACTATACATAAGAACTTAATGATGTCTTAATATCACCTAATATTCATTTCATATTCACATTCTTTAACTGTCCTCAAGTAGATTTGTGACTTTTTGTTTCTGTACCATAATCCAATCAAGGATGACACATTTGCATTGTTTAGTTATTTACCGTTTAACCTAGAACAGTATTCCAGGATGGGACATTTTTAAATGAAAAAAAGCAATTTGCATGGCAGGTACACTACTTTTTGTATAAGGAGGGGAAGTGAAAACATGTAATATATAAAAAAATAAGAAAAAATATATATACTTGTTAAAGACTAATGGAATAAAGAAAGCAAAAACAAGACTCACGCTTGTGAGAAAATAAGATTTACTAAATATGACCTTGAAAATCATTAGAGAAAGAAAGACCCATTAAATTTTTCTCAGTTAAATAATTATATAAAAAAAATTGAGTCTCTACCTCACGTCATACACAAAAGTCAATTTAGGAACACTGGAAACTTAAAAGAGCAAATACGAAGGTGAAAACTTTCAGAAAGAAAGGTGGGAGACTTTTGTGTAATATGTGTTCCATTAAGACAAATCAACACAAACTATAAAGAAGTTATCAATTAGAATACATTAGCGGTAAAACTTCTACCACCACTCCAAAGAAAACTGATAAAGAGATGAAAAAGATAAGCTACACACTGATGTAATTTGTATATTATGTAATGAACAAAGTATCAGTATCCAGAATGGGTAAAGAACTTTTCTGTGAAATAGTAAGGAAAAGATATCCTGGTATAAAAATACTCAGTGGATACTAACATACAAGTCATGGCAGAGAAAATTAAATCCCAGTAGGTAGGAAAGGTACTCAAACTTACACAGATCAGGAAGAAGTGCACTAAAACTGCAGTGAGATACCATTTCATACTCATCAAATTAGCAAACAAAACTCAGCAGTTTGGCAGTGTCTGAAGATAACAAATGCATGCAACCCTGAGGGCGATGATTCACATGTAGTACTCATTGCTACTGCATTTGTAGTAGCAAAATCATGGAAACATCCTGATTGACTAGCAATCAAGTTAAATAAGTCTGGTTAAATAAGTTGTAGAACTGCCCCTAGAGGCGTTGCAGATGTGGCTGCTGTGCCATGTGTGTGTCATTAGGTGGCAGAGAGAAGAGAGGCTTGTCTATGTCCAGCGTTCTGGCCTGTGAACGTTTGGATGATTGACAGTCTGACACGGGGAAAAAAGTTATAGAAATTGTCACTGTGAGATAGAGAGGCACCTCTGTGTGCTGGTATAGAATTCCAAGATAAAGTGAAAAAGCAAAGGGCTCCCTTCTGTGTTTTTGTGAAGAAGAAAAGATATGGATGCATATACTTTCTCATGCACAGGCTATCTTTGAGAAAACAAAGGAGAAACAGGTTGACTCTGAGGAGAGAAACAAAGGGCAGGAAATGGGTATGTTTATACTGTACTTTTTTTGGACTACTGAAAAAAAAAAACAGATACCTGTTATTACACTGCTGGGGGAGCAGCGGGCAAGTCAGGAGAGGTCGTCTGCGCCATGTGGGTTGCTCCTTGGCCAGCCGGGATCGAACTCGTGTTGCAATGGCTGCAGACAGCTTCATAGGTTGTATCTTAACCCCTTTTGCCACCAGGGAGGCCCCCAGCTTCAATTCTTAATAGGCTCTGTGAGTTTGCACAGACTGCTTACCTTCCTGTGCCCTGTTCCATTGTCATCTGCAAAATGGGGACAAGCAGTACTGTAGTACCTGTTCCACCTGACAGTCAATGTAATGCTCACATCCCCTTAAACTCAGGAGCACATTTTTCAGCTCACACAGTATGAACTCAGTTTGTGTTAGTTACTATTTCAGTTGTTTTGAAGCACCATGGGGTATTACCAGTGTGGTTGCTTATATCCAGAAGTCCAAAATAGCTGCATTTGTAAATTTTGGTTATCAGTAGTGCACATTCTTCAAAGCATACGTGGCCTTGTCTTGTAGCTGAATAAAACTAAACTCTAGTCAGTGCTGCCCTCCTGAATGTAGCCGCTATGCAGATCAACAGAGAGTATTCTTTTCCCTGATACAGATTACAATTTTTCCTTTTTAGCCGTGTGAACATAATTTGAGCAAACCAGAATTCAATCCAACATCTATCAAATTCAAAATCCAAATGGTTGCTGTGTGAGTATTCTAAGATTGGCTTTGTTCCTTTGTTTTTTCCAATGTGAAATGTATTTATCAGAAAAAGTACATCAGAATAATCTTGCTATTTGTTCCTGTTTAGGAGTTCAGTTACATACCATGAAGTTTAAGGCAAATGTGTAAACATACAATCAGTGGTGCTTGATGGCATCAGGGCCACAATAATGGTGTGGTCTGTGGTGGTGTGGTATGTTGGTTATTAGAAATCATGAGTCACCACAAGTTATTAAGTACTTGAGTTTGAAAATGATTTTTTTATGTAAAGTAAAAAATTATAACAGTTTGAAGGTGTATCCTGTAACTGTTCATTTTATTTAGCTATGTTCTAATAATATGTCCATGAGTGAGGTAGTGATTAAGTTAGTGTTAACTCACTGGGGCTTGTCACTGAATGGGAATTTTGTGCATGAAAAATCAACTATCAAGCAGAAAGGATTAGGAAAATATTATCTTGACCTCAGGGTGAGAGAACCCCTCCTAAAGTTATAGAGAAATAAGTCAAATAAGTTATAGAAATTGTCACTATGGGATAGAGAGGCAGAAAGAGACAGGAAACCCAGAAGCCACTAAGAAAAATAGCTTTGACCTTTGCCAAAAAAAGGGGGGTGGGGGGAGGAATTGTAAAAAATTAACTACAAAGTACTCAGATTTCCAGCAATTGGAAAGATAAAAAATGGGATAGGTGGCAAAGGATTTCACCAGGTAGCTTAGAGAAGAGGAATTCCAAATCACCTGTAAATATGTGGACAGATGTTGAGAGTAGATAGGAAAAGTTAAAAAATAATAAATAGCTTCTAGTACTCTTGAGAATAGGAATAAGCATATTTGTGTACATTATTGGTAGGTTTATGAATTGCTAGAGTCTTTGGAGCAAGAAAACTTCATACACCTTTCTATTCTGTAGAAACAAAAGCATCAGCAGCTAGAAATAACAAGGATGTGTATTGCGACATTTTAATGACAAAGAAATTGAAATGATTTGAATTTCAAACTAATAATGGGAAATAACTGATTAAATCAAAATATACTTACTCAATTCTGTAGATTACTCTGTAATTAAAAAGAAGTCTTTGACAATCAAAAAGATTGAGACATGTTCTGGTGAGTTAGGGGAAGGAACTAAAAAGGGCCAGATACACAGTCAGTGCTCTTTCACTATTCCAGTTAATATAAGGAAATCTTTCCTTTGCTGTACTAGATGAGAAAAATAGTAATAATTTTAACAGATTTCACTAAATATTAATGAAATTTTTTATTCATGTATAGCAATTACATCCCAGAGGTGAGAATCATGTCAATTCCTAATCTTCGCCACATGAAGGTTAGTACTGTCTTTAACAGGAGAAAGGATGTGTGTGAGTGTGTGTTCAGTGGCATGTATATTTGGCATGGGCTACAATGAGCAAGGGATAGAAATGAAGACAGTTTGGAATAATAAAGGAATGAGATTTTAAATTTCTTTAAAACTGGAATTCTTGATAATAGCGTCTTTGAAATGTGTGCAGCACAGTGTGTCCATTATATAAAGGTGGAGTCATAGGTAAGCGGGGAAGGAGAGGCATCTCAAGTCTTCTCCATTCAGGAGATTCTCTACCATCCCATGTACCTAAATGTCAAATAATCAGGAATCAATTAGATTTCTTCTTTACCATAGCCCTTTGATTGGGGGTCTTTATTTATGCCCTGCACACGCATACACACACATGCATATATTAAAGAATGTTCTACAACAGCCTCTTAAGTTCTTCCTTTTTGTGCTGTTCATGAAGACATTTACATAGTCCCTATTCATTTTTAAAGATTTCTTGCTAATCTCAAGAAAGTATCAAGCAAGGACAAATTATTGTTCAGGAATACTCTAGTCTTTTGTAGTCTTGATCTGTTACTACATATGGTTAGTCTGTGGCTCTCATACACTTATGAAGACTTCCTATTTTCTAGTTCTTAAGTGCAGCCTGGTTGAGACAGGAGTTATAAACTTGAAGCAGTCGATATTTACATTTAAATAATATACATTCCTCAGAATATCTCAATCCAGTAACTGGACCTTTCTATGGACTTTGTCTCATTTCCTCAGTGAGATAGCAATTCTAGGAGTGTATATCCCATAAAAATACTAGAGTAGGACTCAGTGAGCACTTTGAGAATTTAATGATACAGTTATAGGTGCTCAGGAGTAATGGTGGGGAGGAGGTAAGCTGATGGTTTTGAAGTATTTAGTGTAAGTGCTAATAAAGTGGCCCTAGGTGGCAGTAGTGGGACATGTCTGAGAGATGCTTTTCCTTTTCACCAGGAGAGCCAGGTCCTCCTGACTCTCACAAATCCAGTGGAGAGCCTCACCCATGTGACACTGTTGGAGTGTGAGGAGGGGGACGCTGATGATATCAATAGCACTGCAAAGGTAGGAGCATTTTGCCTCATCCTGACTGGCTGACTTCCTGGAGTGGCTAATTTGTTGGCTTAACGGACTCTATGTTATCTCTTACTTCCACATCTAAACAGTCATCAAGTTCCTTTGATTCCATCTCCTCTGTGTTTTTCACTTAATCTACAGACACACTGCTACTGTCCTGTTTGAAGGTCTCGTCATTTCTTTTTTAGTCTGTGACTTTTAACTAACTGACCTCGTTGTTTTTTAGTCCACCCTGCTTTGTTTCAGCCCATCTTCTATCTTACCACCAGAATGATCTTTTGAAATATATTTTTTATTATGGCATCCCTTGGACTTTGGGATGAAGTGTTTTCCTTGGCTTAGCATGAGAGCTCCCCAATGACCTCACCTCTGTCCATTCTTCAGGATGATCTTCCCCCAGATCCCCAAATCTAGCATTCTACAATCTACTTAGTAATTGTTTTCAATCAAGAAGCTTCAGTGGGTTGTGATGTTTCGTTCTGGAGAGTTAATATACATTTTATCTACAGTGTCTCATTCTATCCCCACTTCCGTGATACACTTGCCCATACCTCTCTTTATATTACTAACTCATAATTCAGCATGATACAACATTGTTGGAACCAATGTATCTCCTTTATATTTTTTTTTAAGAGTGATGAACTGTTTCATATATGTTAAAACTTATAAACAATATAGCAAACGCCCATGTACCCTGAGCCCTTAAGTAATAAAACATTAAAGATATAATTGAAGCCCCCATGTCCCCATTGAATTTCCCAATGCAGCCCAAGTGAAGTAAGCACTCACTGGACCCCATTATTCCTTTAAATTTCTTGTACTTTTACTAGGAATTCTGTATTCCTGAAGTTTGTATAAGTGAAATAATGCTGTGTGTTTCTTGAAATTTGCTGCTTGCTTCTGTCTGTCATGGTCAGTGTAACACTCTGAGGTGTTCCCTTGAATAAGTGTCCCCTGAGGCCGTGATTCCTTCTGTGTCACTCTCCAGGTGGTGGTGCCTCCCAAAGAGCTCGTCCTAGCTGGCAAGGATGCAGCAGCAGAGTATGATGAATTGGCAGAACCCCAGGACTTTCAGGACGATCCTGAGTGAGTGATCTCTTGTGTCCCCAGATGACTGGCAAAGGAGGCTCACTTTTATGTCCCAATTTTTTAACTTTTTTTTTTTTTTTAAAGATTTATTTATTTTTATTTATACAAGCACTGGGTACAGTCAGATGCGCGGGAGGGTGAGAGAATTCACCAGAGCCAGAGCGGGGAGCAGAGCAGGCAGAAGGACTGAAGTACACTGCTGAGGGGAGCAGCGGGCGGCAGGAGAGGTCTGCGTGCCATCTGGGACCCTCCTCCGGTGGCCGGGGAGCAGCCGGGGATTGAACCGGCGCTGCAGAGGCTGCGGGCAACTTCGCAACCCAGTCTCAACTGCTGCGCCACCGGGGAGGCCCTTTTTAACTATTTTTTAAAATAATTTATTTCTTCCTACACAAAAATAATGACCATAGAATATATACAAAGTCACAAAGAATGAAATAAAATCCCACTGCCAGAGAGAAGCACCATGAACGTTTTGGTGTTTGTCCTTCTATATATTTGTTTCATCTCTGGGATCTCTCTATAAGCACAGTTTTTTCAATGTGTTTTTCATTTAAATATATTTTCCCTTATTAATAATAAATTTTCAGTGCATGATTTTTACTGTGGACAGGATAAAATATTCTGTCCCTACAGATTCATCATGGATTTATGTGCCTCTCCCCTGAGTCACTAATTGACTTTCCTTTCTTATACCTAATAATTGAGAAATAAAAACATTTCTCTAGATTAATTAGGTTTCAGTATAAAAACAGAAATTACATCTGGTTATTTGAATAGAGAATTTCCTATAAAGAAATGCTAACTGAGTAACTTCAAAGATTAAAAAAAAATAATAATAAACTCCGAAATATCCCAGAAATAGTAAGTTTATGAAGCAGCTACCATCCCTAGGGCTGAGAAAACAGAAGCATAGTTAGAATTACTAAAATTAAGAGTCAGACCTCTTAATGGGGAGGACACATTTCCTAACCAGTGTTGGCATCTCAGGCGGCCCCAGAGGAGAGGCAGGGTGAAGCTGCATATGCAAGAGTTGGAAAGCTACAACTGGATAGTGCCCCTTCCTGGGTGAAGAAATACTTTGGCCCGAAAGGGGCGGGGTGTTTGCCTACTGGAACCACCAGGAAATGGGAAGCTCCCAGAGAGGAGCAGACCCCTCCCTCTTGTAAGCCACTATCCTCCCGTGCCCCTGGGAAGGGAACCTGCAGGAAGCCAGCCTGCCACGCAGAAATGTGATTAGCAGAATCCTGTGTACGGATCGGGAGACAGACTGTGGGCTTGGAGCTGAAAAACGGTAGCAAAGGGAGCATTTCAGGTTTTGTAACAGAATGATCAGAGCTCCCTCAGTAAGATTAGAAAGAAAAAATAACATGGAATGGGTTGGGGAGGAAAGTGTGAAATAGTGCAGCTATTACCAAAATCCAGCTACCAGAAAGCCCCGGGGCAAGTGTTTTTTTGTTTGTTTTTCTGTAGAGGCACATGCCCCACCCCAGAGAGCCTCTTTAGCAGGTCTAAGTGAGCTTCAGAGATTGGATTTTTTTTTTTAAACTTCCCAGACATCAGTGGTTGCCTGTAAACTTTAAGCTGGAAAAACTTTTTCCTTTTTACTATTTTTAAGTGATTTATTTCCAATCTGATACAAATCATGACTTTTGTTATGGTACTGTTAGGGGGAAAGGATGTCCTGAGATAATCTCATACAGGCTTTGTGGACTCCACCCCCACTCCAAACTAAAGCCATCAGGACATTGGGAAAGACAAATCCCATCACCACCAAGGGGAGGGTGGCTGGGACCTGAGGGTGGAGTTGGGCAGCCAGGTTGGATATAAAAACCAAACACGTGGGCCTTGCTCACGCTCTGGCTCGCGATCGCTCGCCTCCTGGCTTCACCGCTCCTGGCTGGCGGCCAACTCTGAGAGCGCCATTTTGGGATTCCTGATCGGCGGATCGGGTAGGACGCATTTAAAACTTTGTCTCCCACTTTTCTCCCAGAGCTGTACATTTCCTCATTTCCCTTTCCGTTGTAAATAAACCTTTTATTAACCTTTCACGTGTGCCTGCAGTAGAGCATTGATAAGTCCTTTTAAGCGCGCGGGTGAGGACCCACAGTCAGGCACCCCGTTTTGTATCGGGGTTGCTCTACAACAGTACAAATGTGTTAAATTAGCACAATGTAAAATGTATTCTCTGTAATCTTTGCCTATGTAAATCCTTAATTACTTGATAGGGTACAGAAATATGTTCCACCAAGGAAAACTTTTGGAAAAATCATCTGAGATACCAAATTCCAGGCCAATTACTTCAATCAATTATATTTCACATCATTGTGCTGTATAAACTTTTCAGATACCTAGAAATTAGTACTGAATAGTACTATGTAAATATGTAAATGTTTCATTCTGGTAACTTCTTAGAGTAAATGAGTATCATTTGGAAATTCAGCTTATTTCATTGCTCTTTTACTTTTTGAAACTAAGTTATTATATCACAAACTTCAAGTACATGTCAGAAAACTGAAACGGAAACCTCAAAGAGATTTTTTTTTTTAATAATAAATTTTATTTTATATTCCTCATACAATTGCAACCCCCCCATTCTGACCCCAATCCCTCCCCTCCCGCCCCTCACCCCCCAAAAAGTGTCTCTGGTTCATAGTTTTTTGTTGATTTTTGATTTTCGCTTTCTTATAGTTATTCATTTTTTCTGGTCCCTTATTTAAGTTTTCTAGATTCCTGCTATGAGTGAGACCATCCGGTATTTTTCTTTTTCTTTCTGGCTTATTTCGCTGAGCATGATCCCTTCCAGCGCCATCCATGTTGCTGCAAATTGCATGTGTTTATCTTTTTTGAATGCTGAGTAATATTCCGTGGTATATATGTACCACATCTTTTTTTTTTTTTTTTTTTTTTAATAAATTTTATTGTTATATTCCCCATACAATTGCAGCCCCCCCATTCTGACCCCAATCCCTCCCCTCCCACCCCCGCCCCCCTAAAAGTGTCTCTGGTTCATAGTTTTTTGTTGATTTTGATTTTCACTTTCTTATAGTTATTCATTTTCCTGGTCCCTTATTTAAGTTTTCTAGATTCCTGCTATGAGTGAGACCATCCGGTATTTTTCTATTTCTTTTTGGCTTATTTCGCTGAGCATGATCCCTTCCAGCGCCATCCATGTTGCTGCAAATTGCATGTGTTTATCTTTTTTGAATGCTGAGTAATATTCCATGGTATATATGTACCACATCTTCTTGATCCAGTCATCTACTTTTGGGCATTTGGGTTGTTTCCAAAGCTTAGCTATTGTAAACAGTGCTGCTATAAACATAGGGGTGCAGGTGTTCTTTGGAATTGATGTTTCTGTGTCCTTTGGGTAAATACCTAGGAGTGGAATTGCTGGATCATATGGAAGCTCTATGTTTAGTAGGTCCAGAAATCTCCATACAGCTTTCCACAGTGGTTGGACCAGTTTGCACTCCCACCAACAGTGCAGAAGAGTTCCTTTTTCTCCACACCCTCGCCAACACTTGTTGTTGCTAGTTTTTTTAATATGTGCCATTCTCACTGGTGTGAGATGGTATCTCATGGTAGTTTTGATTTGCATTTCCCTGATGACAAGTGATGTTGAACATTTTTTCATATGCCTGTTGGCCATTTGCATTTCCTCTTCAGAGAAGTTTCTTTTTAGCTCTTCTGCCCATTTTTGACGGGATTATTTTCTTTGTTGTTGTTGAGTCTCATCAGCTCTTTGCAGATTTTTGTGATCAGTCCTTTATCATTAGTGTTGTGTGCAAAAATGTTCTCCCAGTCTCAAAGAGATTTTTAAAGAGATTTTTCTCTCCCCCAAATTTTACTAAGTAACTTACAAAATGCACACTGATTTGTGGTATTCCAGAAATCTCATTAAAGCTCAGAGTTAGATTCAGTCTCTACCTGATAGAAATATTACCGCATGTACACAAAGATAAGTGTAAAATGATGTTGGAGACACCATTGTTTATAACCGGAAAACTGGCCATTATCTCAGTGTATGCCAATGGTAAATAGATAATAGAGTTCTGTTAAAATAGAATGCAGAGCATATCTGCAATATGGAATGTGTTTGTGATAAACAGTGGGGAAAAGCAAGTTATTAAATAGTGTGTCCCTTTTGTGTGGATAAAAGTAGAAAAGTAGAACTAAACTCCATAAAATACGTGGTAGGTTAAGAACCAAATTATGTACAGTTTTTCTCTGTGTGCTGAAAGAGAAAATATGGAGAAAGACTTATATTTTTCCATTTAAATTTTTATAACTATATATTTTACTTTTGTAATATTAAAGTAAAGAGAGCAGCATTTTGCTGAGGAACTCTTTCGTTGCTGATAAGCAAGGTGGAGGTCATATCTTGTCATGAGTTTTCCTGTTGGGCCACAAAACGACAGTATGTCTTAGTGGTTTGGCTGACTTGAGTGCTGTCTAATGTCGTGCTTATTTCCTTCATAGTGTTATCGCCTTCAGAAAAGCCAACAAAGTGGGTATTTTCATCAAAGTGACCCCACAACGTGAGGAGGGTGAAGTGACCGTGTGCTTTAAGATGAAACATGATTTTAAAAACGTGACATCCGTCCGCCCCACTGAAGAAGGTGACCAGAGCGCCGAAGTCATCTGGCTCACCCAGCACGTGGAACTCAGCTTGGGCCCACTTCTTCCTTAAGAGGTATCACTGGCAGCCAGACCCCAAAGGACAGTATCACTACCACCCACGTTAAAATGTGGACACCTCTACTTCTCTAGGCCTTGTTTATAATGATGTACCCATGCACTACTGAATCCTGTTCCTATAAGGGGTGTGAGCATAGGCCTGCACTGGGGACACAGGGTATAACCGCCAATCCCCTTGCTCTCACTGCTGTTAACGAGTAAATCTGTGTCTCCCTCACTGAACCCTGCACGTTGAATAACCACAGCATAATCCCATCCCAAGATAGAGGATGGCTGTTCTTTGGAGTGGCCTTTGATTTGCCACCCGAGAAACTTTCTGTACTATCTCCCAGTCTGATCTCACTAAAAAAAAAAAATCACAATTTCACAGATAAAACTTTAAATGTTAATGAAAGAGGGGCCTGCTGTTCATGCCCTGTCGGTGCGCCCACTGGTTTTTGCAGTCCATGAGATACAGCCTCATTGTCAAAACTACCCTTCACTTGCCACCATGGCTTCCATCGTTCCATGGGTTTCCATTTGATCAAAAACTAAGATCTTTAGTTTTGTGGTGATTGGGAAAACCTGTGACATTCTTAAGGCACTTCATGTGTCCTCTGCCAAATGAATACAAAATATTAATCCATATTTTTTTTGAACCTATCAGTTAAAAAAAAATCTTTCCCAGTAGAATGTGGAGCTAGTTAGGAAGAATTTAAGAAGTAGGCAATTACATCCTGTCAAGGGGGTGGCAAATTCCATTCTTTGTAAATCTTGTCATAGTTAACTTGGCCATGGGGAGGCAGCCTTTGTGTTTTACTCTCTGTGGCCTCTCATCTCTACTCTGTCTCTTTAACTCAGTAAATTGCTCTGAGTATTTGGGGTTGGGAAAGAGCCCAAAGAATCCTTGATGGACAAATTCACTTCTGGCATACAGAAAATATTTAAAGGTTGGATTTTTAGCATGATCTGAATTAATGTTCTTTCCACTGATTTGAAAGGGAAATTACAACTTTTCATCTCTTAAATCCAAAACTAGATGCTAAGAAAAATACCATGTTCCTGTGTTTAAGACTTATCATATGGTATATTGAACAAGACCATTTTGATTGTAAACCATAAATAATTCAGCAAATCGCTCAGAACACTTGCCTAACAGCACACATGCTGTTTTCGCCTGGCATCCTGGTGTGGGGTTACTCACCTTAATTTCTATGATAGTTTCTAAGTGAGACTTCACAAAGTAGACAAGTTGTGTGACATTTTTTGTTAGTGAACTATTAGCAAGTGGCCAACATACTTTTGGGGAAAAAATTTTCTTTTTACCCTGATTGTTTTTTAAGTTGAAGTCTTTACTTTTAAAAAGAAAGATATATAATGATCTAGAATACAGATAGGACATAGTAACTTCTCAGCTCCACTGAGAGGATAAAAATAAATAGAAAGACTTTGAAAGACACTAAATTGTATGTTTAAGGTCAGGCCAGTTTTATGAAACAATATTCCACAGATTAATATATTTGCTTCAATGTAAGGGAAAAAAATCCTATCTCTACTATTATGGCAGTAATAAGGTTTAGCCTCTTAGGAGTTGGGGTGGTGGGAAAGGGGTTATATAATGACAAATTTACAGACTATAGAAATAGTTTAATTTTTGTGACCCCACAGAGTGTCAAGTTCATTTTTATTTCCTGACCTACTAGAGCCTGCTGTGAAACCACTGTTCACTATTGGCCAGTGGAAGGATTGGGCCTCTAAATAGAGACTAGCTTTAGATGTCTACACCTTTGCATAGACTGTACACCATTGTTGGCCGTGCACTTACGGCATATCACTGTTATTTGTTCCCAAAAGTAATAATGTTGACGTGATGGGTCTCATCAGCCCCATGTGATACAAAAACAGACACTTCTGATCATAGGAGTTTTTTTTCTTCAGAAGCCAAATTGCAGAATAGCAGAGCCCTTGGTTTAATGTTTCCTTGAGATAGTTTTCAGTGCAAGCTTATGTTCTGTGTGCTAGAAGAAATGGTTTAACACCTGCAGCTGGTGGTTTGGAATTTTATTTGTTACTTTTTTATATTAAATTAGGTGTAAGATTTTTAATGCCTAGTAGTTGTGCACCACTGCAGGAGAATTCGATGTCATTAGCACTTGAAACTACAATTTTGGAAACTTAAAGCTAAGTTAATTTGGATTTGTGATTTGATTAACCTACCAAAGTTTTTTGTTCAAAGTGCTTATAGGCATAATGAGGTAGCGTCGTGCATATTTGTAAAGAAAAATCCTTTGACCCCTGTGAGAATGAGAGGCATTCCTTTATCTTTATGAATGACAGGTTACTGTTTTGCCTTATTGCTTAACTTCATGTAGTGAAATAAAGCAGACAAAGCTTGAGTGTGCCTCTTTTTTTTTTGGTGTGGTGAACAAGGTGGGAATTTCACGGCTCAGATTCAGAAGATGGGTGGAGTAAAGGGATATCATATGAGTCATGATGGGGGGTATGCGACTCCTTCCATTTCTGTAAACAAACTAAGCTAAATCCTGTCAAGTTAGTTCACTGTGACATGAGATGTAAGTGGATGTTGCACTCTTTAGGAACATTTTCTCAAAACCACTCTGTCGATTTCACTTTGTTAGGCCTCAGCCAGCTCTCCAGCTTTCATCCTGGTGATCACTCCCAAACTTACTCTTCCAAATACACAAAATGTCCTAAACCCAACAAGTAGCACTCATGTACCTCCTGTACTCTAGCCTCCTTCCCTATTACTGTCGGTGAATCCTTCACACTCCTAATACAGCCCAACCACTTAATGTACTCAACCTCTTCCTCTTCACTTATTCAGCAATCCTCCTCCTGTGTTGTTTCCATCAGCCTCCTATGATTTCTTTTTAAAAAGAAATTGACACCCATCACCTTCTTCAGCTTACTACCCATTTTCGGTACTCCCTTCACAGCCAAACTTCCAACTCTACCTATTCTTCTTCTCACCTGAACCCATTCTTAGGCTACCGCCCCACCACATCTCCAGAATGCTCTTGTCAAGGTCCCCAGATATCTGTCTATTCTGAGTCCTTATCTGCGTCTTTCGGTAGCAGCCGATGGTTGATCCCCTTCTTGACAGACTTTCCTCACTTGGTTTCCAGAGCCAGCAACCTGTTTTTCCTTCTACTTTACTGGTAATTGCTGTTCTGTATCCTTTGGTAGGTCTTCCCCATCTTTCCAACCTTGGTGTATACCAGGTCTCTTTTTCTTATACTTCTCTCTCTTAATCTCACCTATTTTTTTAGACCATCTCTTAAATTTACATACCAACGCTAGAATAGTCTGAAAGCCCAACCTGGAGTTTGTCTCACATCTTCCTGTCCTGCAGTTGTCTGTAACTAACTGTCCCTTTCAGTTGTTTATAACAAACCTTGCCATCATTGGTGCCTCCTCTTACATACCATAGCCAATAAGTCAAATCCCATCAGCTCTGTCTTCAAACTACAACTGCTTTACACCCTCCCAAACATCATTATTCTGGGCTAAATCAGTATATATATATATATATATATATATATATACACACACACACACACACACACACACACACACTCCTAGATGATTATTGCAGTAGCATCCAAACTGGTCTTTAAACCACCCTGTTCTCTACTCCCACCCTTGAGTCAATTTTTAACACAGCACCCAGTGACTAAGTAATTTCTATCTTTAAACTCAAGCTGGCTTCTTAGCTTATAAAGCTTTAAAAGCAAAAAAGTACAAACTCTTTACAATAGCTTCTTTGACCTGAAAGCCAAGCCTCACTTTTACTGCTCCCAAAATTTGTCTTCCATTTCCCCTTGCTCACTCCACCCCAGGCATGAGTCTGCTTTCCCTCTCGTGACCTTTGCAATGACTGTCCTCTGCCTGGAAAACTTTTCTTCCTGATATCAATAACCCACATCTACCCTGAGTATGTATTTGGTCAAATATTTTCTTTATGAGGCTTGGCCTTTTTATTTAATGTAGACTGTTCTCTGCTAAGCATATTTGCTATGCCTTATTTTTTTTCTTTTTTTTCAGTATTACCTATCATCATTTAGCATATGATATACATCACTTGCTTATTTTCTGACAATATAGTGGAACATGGGCTCCACATAACGGGGATTTTTGTCATTTTTGTTTTTGTTTTAATACAAAGCCTAGAATAGTTCCTGGTAAATAATAGTATTTGTTTAGTAAGTTAATACTGTAGTCCTTTTCTTTTGTAACTTGATTTTTTTTGTCATAAGCCAAATGTCATAGCTCTCTTTGTCATAAGCCAAATATCTTTTTACTTTGGACTTTTTTTGTTCTAGTGTTTTCTATATTTGGAATACAATTTCCTCTCCAAATTCTCCAGAATTACTTTTTTGCTCCCATTTCCCCTTATTCCCATGTATATTTGATCATAATCCCTAGCCCTCTACATCTCTAGGACATTTACTCTTCATGTTGTATGCATGTAGCTCCTTTACTGGATTGCAACTCCCTTCATAACCAGACCCCCTTTATCAGCTGTTTTTCCCATATTTCATTTAAAGGGCAGTCTGGAGCAAACTTCGCAACTGAAATTGAGTTGCTTGTTCAATTGCAGTACTTCAATATACCCCCACTTACTGGTGGTAAGAGCTATCTGTAGAGACATAGTTCCCAGTGTGATAAGCCTTTAACAAGAGTGTGACTTTAAGTGTTAACTGAAAGAAACAAACTGGGATCAAAGGCAGGGGCAGCCATAATTAATAGCAGATAAAATAGACTCCCAGCTGAAAAAATAAGAGTCAGTGACAGTCATTATGTAATGATTATAATGATTAAAGGAATAGTACATCAGGGATACATAACATGTGCACTATATGAAGGAGCATTGAACTATATGACAAACTTAAAACAGACACGGCAACAACACAATAGTTGTAGGGGACCTTAACATCCCACTGTCATCAGTGGACAGACCAATCAGGAAGAAAAGCAACAAGGAAACAATAGTCTTAAATGAGGAATTAGACCACATGGGCTTAACATTTATAGGGCACAGCACCTTGTGCCCACCCCCCCAAAAAAATAGTACACATTCTTCTCAAGTGTACATGGGATATTCTCAAGGATAGACCAATTAACAAAATGTGTCAAAAAACTCATTAAGATTGAAATCAGGTCAAGTATCTTCTCTGTTCACAGGAACATCAAACTAGACAACCACAAAAAAGGAAATAGAAAACCTCTAATATATGGAAATTCAGCAACACACTACTGAGTGTTGTGTTAATAAGGGTCTCAAAGAAGAAATTTTAAAAAATAAGGGGAGAAAATAAAAAATGAAGACATGCAACATGGCAAAAGCAGTACTAAGAGAGAAATATATACAATATAGGTCCACATAAGGAAATAAGAGCTCAAATAAATTAAATCTTAAGGAACTAGAAGAGGAGAACAAACCAACCAAGAATGAATAGAAAGAAGGAAATAATAGAAATAAATAGATGAAGACAGTCCAAAAGATCAATGAAATCAAAAACTGGTTCAGTTAAGAAATAAAAGAGAAAAAAATTCTAGCTAGGCTCACAAAGAAAAAGAAAAGGGAAATCTAATGAATAGAATCAGAAATTTTAAAAAGAAGTAAATAACATCTCAGATATACAGAGTATCATAAGTGACTACTGTAAATACTGAATAACCTAGACATGAACAATTCTTAGAGATATATGACCTTCTGAGATTGAATTAGAAAAAATTGAAAACCTGAACAGACCACTTACAAGCAAGGAAACTGAAACAGTAATCAAAGATCTCCCACAATACAAAAACTCTAAATCAAAAGGACAGGTAAATACCATATGATTATATCCAAAAAATGCAGAGAAATCATTTGATAAGATTCAACATCCATTTATGATAAAAAGCCTCAAAAACAAGAGAGCAAAGGGGACATATCTAAACATAGTAAAAGTTAATATGACAAGGCCATTAGTTAACATCATTTTCAGTGGTGAAAATGGGAGTTTTTCCTCAAAGATTTAGGTATAAAACAAAAATACTTTTACCACTCTATTCAACATAGCATTGGAAGTCCCAGCTAGAGCAATCAGGCAAAAAAAAGATATAAAAGGAATCCAAATTGGAAACGAAGAATTAAAACTATCACTATTTGCAAATGGCTTGGTAATACACATGGAATACACAAAGGACTCTACTAAAAAACCATTAGAAACAACAAATCAGTACAAGAAAGTGGCAGGGTACAAAAATCAATCTACAAAAATCAATTGTGTTCATGTAAGTAAACAACAATCACATCCAAAAATATTAAGTAATTAGGACTAAACAGAAGAGCTGAAGAACCTGTACAATGAAAATGGCAAAATATTGTTAAAAGAAATAGAAGACTGAAGAAATAGAATGATATTCCCCATTCATAGATCTCAAGAATCATCTTAAAATGGCCATCTTAAAGCAGTACACACATTCAATGCAATACCTATAAAAGTCTTGACCTTTTTTTAAAAAATAGAATGATACTGTATTCATGCAGAACCCACACAGTCAAAACAATCCTGACTAAAAGGAGGAAGAATTAGAGATGTCACATTCCTGGACTTCAAACTATACTACAGAGTTACAGTAATCAAAAACAGTATGGCATTGGAATAAAAATGGACACATAAACCAATGGAATAGAATTGAGAGACCAGAAATAAACCCATGCTTATGGACAGTTAATTTACAACAAAGAAACTACTAGTATACACTAGAAGAAGGAGTATCCCCAAAAATTGGTGATGGAAAAACAGGACAGTCACATGCAAAAGAATGGAACAAGAATGCTAGCTCACGCCATATACAAAAAATTAACTCAAAGTTGATTAAGACTTAGATGTAAGACCTGAAACCATAAAACAGAAGAAAACAGACAAAATATTCCATGATATTGACCTCTGTGATGTATTTGGGGGCTCAACTCTTAAAGCAAAGAAAACCAAAGTAGAAGTACATAAAAGGAACTACATCAAACTAAAAAGCCTATGCACAAAAAAACCACCATTATTAAAAGGAAAACACACCCAGACACCAGAATGTCCAATGAGTCACAAAAATAGTGCATCATATGCTAATAACAGTAGAATCCTCAAATAAATAGTAATAGAGGAAACATATAAGACAATGAAATGGCTCTTAAAACATAGTGGCAAATCCTAAAAAAAATAAATAAACAAAAATGGGATAAGCACTTATGTCTTGATAGACACCTTAAACATAAATGGCCTGGATTCACCAAAAAATGTAAAGTGGTTGAATGGATTTCAAAACAAAACCCAACTTTTTATTTTTTAGTAATTTTGTTATTTTTTACATCATTATTCATTTT